CAAGCAAAAGCCCTCCTGAAACAAACTTGCAGGCATTGCACAAGAAGTAACTCAAAGAGTACAAATAGAAACAAAACTGTTCAGCTCTGCTTCTGCCACATGTCAGGGAGGGAAAGATATGAACAGAGGGTATCATGTCATAGAAGGAAGGAAGAGAAGAAGGGGGGAGAGGCTGAAGGAGAAGGAAGGAGAAGAAGGGGAGGAAAAGGAGAAGAGAAGAAGAGAAAAGAATGCAAAAGAAAAGGAGGAAGAGAAAAAGAGGGAAGAGAATGAAGGCAAGGAAAAAGAGAAGGAAGGAAGAAGAGCAGAGGGGAGGGAAGGGAAAGGAGGAGGGAAAGGAGGAGAATGAAGGGGGAAAGAAAAGCATGAAGGGAAGAACCCCCAGGATTAAGAAGGGGGGTGGGGGAAAAGGGAGGGGGGGGAAAAGGGAGGTAACAGATAATTGATTATTGCACTAACCGGGACTACCCGGCCAAGCCCGGTCCAGGGGGGGGGCCAAGGGGGGGGGGGCGAAGGGGTCCCGCTCCTTGCTTCTTCCTCCCGGCTGCCCCCTTCTCCCCCCCTCAGCTGGACCCCCGCCGCCTGAGGAAGGACCTCCCCCGCGCGCTGCGCCTGCTCAAGCCCGGGGACCGCGTGATGCTGGTGGGCACCTCCTCCCGCCCTTACCTGGCCGACCTCAAGGGCCTCTGCCGCACCTACGAGCGCGTCCTCCTCGTGCCACGCCCCGACTACGCCTCCAGATTCGGTATGCGGAGTGGGGGGGGGCGCGGGGGGGAGGGGGAGAGGGAAGGGACGCCCCCGCCTTCCCCGGCCCTTGGCCTCCCTCCCCTCCATTCTCAACCCATGCTTGTTTTGGCATTGAATGCTTGCCAGTTTGTCACATTGCTGGAGAGCGCGGATGAGCTCCCTCTGTCAGCTCCAGCTCCCCGTGCAAAGGGGACACGAGAGAAGAGTCCCACAAGGATGGTAAAACATCAAAACATCCGGGCAACGTCCTTGCAGACGGGCAATTCCCTCACACCAGAAGCGACTTGCAGTTCCTCAAAAGTCGCTCCTGACAGGACAAAAAAAAATCATTCTTCTTGTTATAGCCCTTCCTTCTCTTAACTTTCCTTCTCTTCCTTTCGCTTCCAGTATCCTTCCTTTTCTCTTTTTTTCCCATTCCATCTCCCCCTTTCCTTTCTTTTGTCCTTCCTTCTTTCTTCCTTTCCTCCCTTCTCTTCACCGTCTTTCTCTTCCTTTCACTTCCATTTCCTTCCTTCCGTCTTTCTTTCTCCTCTTCTATCTCCTTCCTTCTGTTAACTTTCCTTCCCTTCTCTTCACTTCCAATTCCTTCCTTCCTCTTTCTTTCTTACATTCCATCTCCTTCCTTCCTTCATCTCCCTTCCTTTCTTCCCTCCTCCCTTCCTTCTCGTCACCATCTTTCCCTTCCTTCCTTTCATTTCCATTTCCTCCTTCCTTCTCTTCATTTTCCTTCTCTTCCTTTCACTTCCATTTCTTCCTTTCATCCGTCTCCTTCTTTCCGTCCTTTTGTCCTTACTTCCTTTCCTTTCCTACTTCCTTCTTTTAACTTTTTTTCACTTCCATTTCTTTACTTCCTTGCTTCCTTTCCTCTTCCTTTCTTTCTTTCTTCCATCCCATCTCCTTCTTTCCTTCCTATCCTCCTTCCCTTCTCTTAACTTCCTTTCATTTCACTTCCCTTTCTTTCTTTCTTCTCCTTCTTTCCTTCCTTTTGTCCTTCCTTCCTTCCCTTCCCTTCCTTTCACTTCCATTACTTCCTTTCTTTCTTTCTTTTCTTTCTTTCTTTCTTTCTTTCTTTCTTTCTTTCTTTCTTTCTTTCCTTCTTCTCCTCCATCTCCTTCTTTCCTTCCTTTGGTCCTTTCTCCCTTTACTCTTCCTTTCCTTCCTTGCCCCCCCACCCCGCTTTCAATTCCTTTCCTTGTGGAGGGGGGGGCGTACACCCACCCCCTGCTGACCCTCCCCCCTCTCCCCCTCCTGTCTGTCTTCCTTTCTTCCACTCCATCTCCTTCTTTCCTTCCTTTTGTACTTTCTTCCTTTCCTTTCCCCCTTCCTTCCTTCTCTTAACTTCCCTTCCCTTCCTTTCACTTCCATTTCTTTCTTTCCTTCTTTCTTTCTTCCATCTCCTTCTTTCCTTCCTTTTGTCCTTACTCCTTTCCTTCTCTCCTTTCTCTCCTTCCTTCCCTTCCATTACTTCCTTTCCTCTTTTTTCTTTCTTCCTTTCCTTCTCTCCGTCCTCTCCTTCTTTTCCTTCCTTTTTCCTTTCTCCCTTCTTTCTTCTTCCTTGCCCCCCCCCCCCGCTCTCAATTCCCTTTCTTGTGGAGGGGGGGGCGTACACCCACCCCCTGCTGACCCTCCCCCTTCCACTCCATCTCCTTCTTTCCTTCCTTTTGTACTTTCTTCCTTTCCTTTCCCCCTTCCTTCCTTCTCTTAACTTCCCTTCCCTTCCTTTCACTTCCATTTCTTTCTTTCCTTCTTTCTTTCTTCCATCTCCTTCTTTCCTTCCTTTTGTCTTTCTTCCTTTCTTTTCCTCTCCTTTTCTTTCTTTCCTCCTTCCTTACTTCCTTTCTCTTTTTTCTTTCTTCTTTCCTTCTTTCCTTCCTTCTTCCTTCTTTTCCTTCTTCCTTTCTTTCCTTCCTTTTCTTCCTTTTCCTTCCTTCCTTTCCTTCCTTTCCCTTTTTTTTTCTTTCCTTCCTTCTTCTCCTCCATCTCCTTCTTTCCTTCCTTTGGTCCTTTCTCCCCTTACTCTTCCTTTCCTTCCTTTTGTCCTTACTTCCTTTCCTTTCCTACTCCTTTCTCTTCACTTGCCTTCCCTTCCTTTCACTTCCATTACTTCCTTTCCTTTTTTTTCTTTCTTCCTTCCTTCTTCTCCTCCATCTCCTTCTTTCCTTCCCCTGGTCCTTTACTCTTCCTTCCCTTCCCCAGGACCTTGACCACCCCCCGGCCCGCTCTCACTTCCCTTCCTTGTGTGTGTGGGGGGGGGGGGTGCCGCCCCCCCCCCCTGCTGCCCCCCCCCCCCCCCCCCCCCCCCCCCCCCCCCCCGTAGTGACGTGGCGGCGCCTGATCGAGCGCCAGGGCGGGGCGGTGTCTGCCCGGCTGGACATGAGCGCGCTGGCCAAGGTGTCGGAGGGCTACAGCCAGGGCGCGATGGCGGCGGCGGTGTCGGCCGTGCTGAGCGAGCGGAGGCTGCTCCAGCTGCCCAAGAGGCCCCTCCTGGCCGCAGAGCTGCTCCAGGCCCTCGCCCGCGCTGACCCCGTCTTCCCCGAGGAGGAGCGCCTCCTCCAGGTGGGGCAGGGGGCCCCGAGGGAGGGGCGGGGGGGGGGTTAGGCCACGCCCCCTCGGCCCCCTGGTCACGCCCCCCGCCCCCCTGCCCTCCCCACAGGACTGGTACAGCAAGACCCCCCTGGGGAAGAAGAAGAAGCGCGAGGAGGAAGAGCGGCTCCGCCTGGCCGAGATGAAGGGCAAGAAGAACAAGAACAAGGACAAGGGCAAGGGCAAGAAGAAGTAGCAGTCCAGCAGCAGCAGCAGCAGCAGAGGGTGGTCAACCCATTAGCTTGCATGCATATGCAAATCAGGTGCAATAAACAAATGGGAGCTTCCAGAGTTGGTCTTGTTGGGGAAAGACAAAGAGAAGGAAGGGAAGGGAAGCACCATCAAAGCACCCCCCACAGATGGCCACCCAGCCTCTCCTTTAAAGCCTCATAACCAGCAGAATCTTCCATGTGGTGAAACTGGGAGAAGCGTCTCTTCCTCAGGTCTGCAGAGTCAGAACTCTAGGTTCGAAAGTATTTATTGAAGTCAAAGAAATAGGTAGAAGAGGTCTTGGAGTTCACTAGTTTATGAAGTCTCATCTTCTAAAGAGGTAAAAAGGGTAAAAAGCAAAAAAAAAAAAATTCCATGCAGCTACATTTTGCCTGCAGAGAGAGGCAAAATGCGTCCTCACTGGAAGGAAGAAAAGGCAGAAGAGGCTGGAAAATGGCAAACCCAGGGCAATAAAACTTCAAGAGGAAGTTTCCTCACAGAATTCCATTGTTACATCTTCAAAGGGGAGGAGACAGTGGCCTCTCCTTAAAAGCCTCCAAGGAAGGAGATTCCACCACACTCTGAGGCAGAGAGTTCCACTGCTGAACAGCTTTCCTTACAGTTAGGAAGTTCTTCCTCACTTTCAGGTGGAATCTCTTTGTGTTGTGGAAGGAAGGCTTCACTGGGTTGCAGTGAGTTTTCCGGGCTGTCTGGCCACCTTCCAGAAGCATTCTCTCCTGACGTTTCATCCACATCTATGGCAAGCGTCTTCAGAGGTTGTGAGGTCTGTTGGAAACTAGACTTTCACAACCACTATGTCAGAATTCACAGAGAAGCCATGGACATCCACAAGAAGCAGGTGTGCAATGTCAACAGAAAGGAGGAAACCATGAAAATGAACACAATCTGGCTCCCAATATTTTAAAAAAAACTCTAAAATCATAAGAGTAAATAAAGAACAACACTAAAAATAAAAAAAACAGGAGTATTCCGGGCATGAAACAATCAGGGCCAGCTAATCACCTCCCAACAAAGGATCTCCTCAGGCAGGAAGCAGCCAGGCTTTGAAGCTGCAAGGCTTTGCAATGCTAATCCAGGTGATTAATTGCAACATTGGGTTGTTGTAGGTTTTTTTTCGGGCTATATGGCCATGTTCTAAAGGCATTTTCTCCTGACATTTCGCCCAACGGAAATAGTTGAAGGTCCAACAGACCTCACAACCTCTGAGGATGCCTGCCATAGATGTGGGCGAAACGTCAGGAGAGAATGCTACTGGAACATGGCCAGACAGCCCAGAACACTCAGGGCAACCTGGACTGTCTTTCCTTGCATGTCGCCCTCCATGAAGCCCTTCCTTCAGATCCATGGCTCCCACGCCGCCCGCCCCCCCCCCCTTCTGGGGCTAAACGCCCCCTCCTCGGGGTCTCGGGCCCTTGCGGACGTGCTGGGTTTCCAACCAAGGCTCCCTCCTTGGTTGCCCCCCTGTTTGTTTTGGGGGGAGCCGAGGGGGATGTCCCCCCCCCGCGTGACCCATGACCACAGGACCCCCCGCTCGGGTTCCCGCTAGGAAATGGGGGGCGGCGGGAGGGGGCTGGGCTTTGCAAGGCCAGGAAAGGGAGGGGGGAGGAGCACCACCCATTCCCCTTCCCTCCCTCCCTGGGAGCTCCTCTTGGCCCCTCCCCTACTTCTCACAACTCTCCCCCCCCCCCGTGGCTGCCTGCCTAACTCGCGGCTGGAAAGGTCAAGGCTATTTGTGGCGAGGGGGGGGGGGGCGGGAGGGGGCTATTTATATCCCCCTTCCTTCCGAGTCAGGAGGGGGCGGGAAGGGGCGTGGCCGGCGAAGGAGCCTCAAGGGCGCCCCCCTCCTCCTTGGAGCCCTCCACCTCCCCCCTCCCTCCCTCCCTCCCATGTCTCGGCCAGGGTGGGGCGGGGCCAAGGGCAGGTCCGGCAAGGGTCCGCCCTTGGAGTGCCGGGACCCGGTGGTGGAGAACGCGCTCTACTCGGGGGACCTGGACCAGGTGCGCCGCCACTTCCGCCCGGGAGCCACCGTCGACCTCGTCCTCCACGCCCGCAGCCACGAGCCCCGCTGGATCTGCCGCGAGTGGGGTGAGGGGGGGCGCATTGGGGGGCGGAGGAAGGGAGTGGGAGAGGAGGAGGAGGAGGGGGGTGGGGGTCTCCTTCCATGGAAAGCCCGCCCAGAGAGCTGTTCAGCAGTGGAACTCTCTGCCCCGGAGTGTGGCTGGATGGCCATCTCTCGAGGGTGCTTTGAATGCAATTGCCCTGCTTCTTGGCAGAATGGGGTGAGATTGGATGGCCCACCAGGTCTCTTCCAACTCTATGACTCTATGACTGCCTTCTGACCCTTTGGGTGAAAACGCCCCCTTTAGCATCAAAGTGGAGAGGACTGGGCTCTGGAGCAGGTCTGGGCCAAGTTGGGGTGATTCCACCATACATTCTAGATAGGAGAGGTCTTAGAGTTCACTCGTTTAAGAAGTCTCGTCTTCTAAAGAGGTAAAAACATAAAAAGTCAGAAAGTCCATGCAGTTACATTTTGCCTGGAGAGAGAGGCAAAATGCGTCCTCCCTGGAAGGAAGGAAAGGCAGAAGAGAATGGAAATACATTCTAGATAGGAGCAAAATAGCTCACTACTTCTCATCTTCTAAAGAGGTAAAAAAGTCAGAAAGTCCACACAGCTACATTTTGCCTGGAGAGAAAGGCAAAATGCGTCCTCACTGGAAGGAAGGAAATGCAGAAGAGAATGGAAATGCATTCTAGATAGGAAAGGTCTAGGAGCAAAATAGCTTACTACGTCTCATCTTCTAAAGAGGTAAAAAAGTCAGAAAGTCCATGCAGCTACATTTTGCCTGGAGAGAGAGGCAAAATGCGTCCTCCCTGGAAGGAAGGAAAGGCACGATGTAGTCTCAGACAGGTAACATATTCCTTGGTTGCAGACAAAGTAATGGAATCCGGCCTTAGGGTGGTGACCAGGCCTTCCTTCATCCAAAAGGTTACATCTCAGCAAAAACAAAAGACCACAAAGGAAGTGAAAGAAGAAAGCAGATGGGGAGGAACACAGCTTCTCAAAACATGTGTCCAGAGGCAAGACATGACTCAAGTGGTGGTCAACTCATTTAACTTACATGCATATTTATTTATTTATTTATTTATTTATTTATTTATTTATTTATTTATTTGCGACATTGCTATGCCGGCCTTCTCACCCCGAAGGGGACTCAGAGCGGCTTACTAATATATATGCACATACAATATATTATGTTTTTAGCATAGTACAACATCAGTGTTATATATTACTATAGTGTACTATACCAGTGTTTCTCAACCTGGGGGTCGGGACCCCCAGAGGGGTCATGAGGGGGTGTCACAGGGGTCACCAAAGACCATCAGAAAACATAGTATTTTCTGTTAGTCATGGGGGTTCTGTGTGGGAAGTTTGTCCCAATTCCATCGTTGGTGATGTTCAGAATGCTCTTTGATTTAAGTGAATTATAAATCCCAGCAACTACAACTCCCAAATGTCCCAAACTCCACCAGTGTTCACATTTGGGCATACTGAGTATCTGTGCCAAGTTTGGTCCAGATCCATCATTGTTTGAGTCCACTGCGCTCTCTGGACGTAGGTGAACGACAGCCCCGAAACTCAAGGTCTATATCCACCAAACCTTTCCAGTAATTTCACTGGGGAGCGAGTTCAACAGGCGAGGGGCCACCGCCGAGAAGGCCCTGTCTCTCGTCCCCACCAAGCACATTTGTGACAAAGGTGGGAACAAGAGCAGGGCCTCCTCAGAAGATCGTAAATTTCGAGGTGGGAAGTAGGGGGAAGTAGGGGGAGATACGTTTGGATGAGTAAGCTGGCCCAGAAAATGGCGAATGGCACATGTCAAGCCCAGGGCAATAAAACTTCAAGAGGATGTGGGGGAGGAATCCCTCAGCCTAATCCCATTTCTGGTGTAGCTACTCATTGAGGACTGGAGACTTGATGACACAAGAGACTTGTGCAATCCACGGATGAAACCCAACAAAACTGATGAATCCAACACATGAAGCTACATTTTGCCTGAAGAGAGGCAAAATGCGTCCTCACTGGAAGGAAGAAAGGACAGAAGAGTCTGGAAAATGGTGAATGGCCACATGGGTAGCTCAGGGCAATAAAACTTCAAGAGGAAGTTCCCTCACAGAATTGCATGGCTTCATCTTCAAAGGGCAACGAGGAGGAGTTGGGAAACATGGATAGTCTAGCTCAGTGTTTCTCAACCTTCCTAATACTGCGACCCCTTAATACAGTTCCTCCTGTTGTGGTGACCCCCAACCATCACATTATTTTTGTTACTACTTCCTAACTGTCATTTTGCTACAGTTATGAATCATAATGTAAATATCTGATATGCAGGATGTATTTTCATTCACTGGACCAAATACCTCATAAGCTCTAATTTGAATACTGGTGGGTTAGTGGGGCACTGATTTTGTCACTTGGGAGTGGTAGTTGCTGGGATTTATAGTTCACCTACCATCAAAGAGCATTCTGAACTCCACCAACGATGGAATGGAACCAAACTTGGCACACAGAACTCCCACAACGGACAGAAACTCCTGGAAGGGTTTGCTGGGCATTGACCTTGAGTTCTGGAGTTGTAGTTCACCTACATCCAGAGAGCTCTGTGGACTCAGTGATGGATCTAGACCAAACTTGGCACGAATACCCAATATGCCCAAATGTGAACACTGGTGGAGTTTGGATAAAATAGACTTGACATTTGGGAGTTGTAGTTGCTGGGATGTATAGTTCACCTCCAATCAAAGAGCACTCTGAACTCCACCAACGATGGAGTGGAACCAAACTTGGCACACAGAACCCCTATGAGCAACAGAAAATACTGGAAGGGTTTGCTGAGCATTGACCATGAGTTTGGGAGTTGTAGTTCACCTACATCCAGAGAGCACTGTGGACACAGTACTGCATGACCAACAGAAAATACTGAGTTTTCTGACGGTCTTTGGCGACCCCTCGCGACCCCCGCAGGGGTCCCGACCCCCAGGTTGAGAAACACTGCTACTCATTGAGGACTAGAGACTTGATGACACAAGATCAGACATGGAAGCCAACAAAACTGATGAATCCGACACAATGAGGACTCAAGAGGGTTTGTTCTCTCCTGATGGAGGAAAGGAGAGGATCTTGCAAGAGGGGAGAGGGAGCCTCTCTCTCAGGCCGGGCCGACGTGGGCCCCCCCTCCAGGCGTCTTGGACTTCAACTCCCACAATTCCCAACAGCCAACCGGAGGGTCCAGAGAAAGACCCCCCAACTTCCTAACTCTGGTTACGACCAAAGAAAGAAGGACTCCTTTGACTCTCCGACTTCCAAGGGAAGCGAGGGCTGGGGCGGGGAACTGTCCTGCGTGGGGCGAGGCCCCGAAAGCCGTGGAGAGGGGCGGGGAGGGGGCGGGGCGGGATACAAGATCGCTCCGAGGGGAGGGGCGGGGCGGGGCGGAGGGGGTCCCACCTTCCTGTCACAAGGTCTCCTCCTCCTCCTCCTCCCCCGCCCCAAAGACCCCTCCCTCCCTCCCTCCCTCCCTCATTCCCGGGCCCTTCCTGCTGTGCCTGTGCCCGTGGGGCCTGCCCGTGTGCGTGGGCGCCATGGAGGCCATCCAGACGCGGCGGGCGGAGGGGGCGGCGGGGGCCTTCTGGCGGGCGCTGCTGGAGGGCGACGGGTGCGCGCTGCTCTGCCTCCTGCGCGACCCCGACAGCGGCGTGGGGCCCAACTCCGTCTTCGACACCAGCGACAGCGAGGAGTGGAAGGCGCTGCGGGGCAACTCCCGGTGGCTGAGTGGGTATGAGGGAAGGGGGAAGGGGTCTCTCCCTGGCCCCCCTCGGCGCTGACCCCTCCCCTCTCTCCCCCCCCCCCGTTGCAGGGATCTGGGCGCTGACCTACGAGCAGGAGCTGACCTCCCCGCTGCACGTGACGGCGGGGCGTGGCTTCGTGGACTGCCTGCGGCACCTGCTGCTTCGCGGGGCGGAGGTGGACCTGGCCCCCGGGGGGAGGACGGCCCTGCACGAGGCCTGCGCCGCCCCCGCCCCCGACTGCGCGCGCCTCCTCCTCTCCTTCGGCGCAGACCCCCGCGCCCCCGCCCAGCCCGACGGGAGGAGACCCCTCCACTTCTGCCGCAGCCCGGACTCCCTCGAGTGAGTGAGATTGGGGGGGGGGGGGGGGGAGAGGGGAGGGGGGGAACAGGGCCTGAGGCCGGAGTTAGTTCCAAAACACCTCGAGGGAGGGACTGGGAGGCCATCCGAACATTAGGAAGAGCTTCTCGACTGGGAGAACTGTTGGAAGGGGTGTTCAGCTGAGGAACTCTCTGCCTCAGGAGTCAGGTGGAGGGGAGGGGGGTGGAGAACAGGGCCTGAGGCCGGAGTTAGGTCCAAAACACCTGGAGGGAGGGCCCAAGTAGACTGGGAGGCCATCCGAACACTAGGAAGAGCTTCTCGACTGGGAGAAGTGTTGGAAGGGATGTTCAGCTGAGGAACTCTCTGCCTCAGGAGTCCGGTGGAAGCTCCTTCCTTGGAGGCTTTGGAAACAGAGGCTGGGTGGCTGGCCATCGGTGACTTGGGCCCTCCCTCAAGGAGTTTTGGACTCCCACCCTCCCTCACATCCTCAGCCCCCTTCCTTTCCCCCTCCCCAGCCGCTTAAGCGGAAAAGGAAACGGAAAAGGAACAGGAAGTGTGGGAGTGAGGAAGTGTGGGAGTGGGAGTCCAAAACTCCTGCAGGGAGGGAGGACCCATGTTAGGAGAGCTGTGTGACAGTCATTTCCATGCCTTTGGGGTGGGAAAGGGGGAGAGTGGGAGGCCATCCGAACATTAGGAAGAACTTCCTAAGTGTTCAGCAGTGGAACTCTCTGCCTGAGGAGTCAGGTGGAAGCTTTGAAACAGAGGCTGGGTGGCTATCTGTCGGGGCAGTCAGGAGGGATGAGTGACAGTCGCTCGATGCATTTCCAGGCCTTTGGGTGGGTGGGAAAGGGGGAGAGTGGGAGGCCATCCGAACATTAGGAAGGACTTTCTCAGTGTTCAGCAGTGGAACTCTCTGCCTTAAGAGTCAGGTGGAAGCCCCTTCCTTGGAGGCTTTGAAACAGAGGCTGGGTGGCTATCTGTCGAGGATACTATGATGGTGCTTCTCCATCAAAGGGTAGGAGTGGGTGGGGATCTCTGGAGGTCTCTCTCTCCCCACGCGAGTCTCCTGCGACCCTTCTGCTTCTCCTCCCGGCAGGTGCGCGCGCCTCCTTCTGTCCCACGGCGCGGTGGTGAACGAGGCCCCTGAGGAGGGCGAAAGCGAGGGCGAGACCCCCTTGCACGTGGCGGCGCGGCTGGGCCTGGCGGGCCACGCGCGGCTCTTCCTCTCCCACGGGGCGCTCCTGGAGGCCCGCGACGCCGCCGGGCGGACCCCTCTGCACGCCGCCTGCTCGGCCGGGCCCCTCCGGGGTGGGGGCGTGGGCGAGGGCGAGGGTCGGTGGGCGGTGTGCCGGCTGCTGGTGGCGGCGGGGGCGCGCGTGGAGGCGTGGGACCAGGACCGGACGCGCCCGCTGCACTGCGCCTGCAAGGCCGGCGACCACCGCGCGGTGTCGCTGCTGCTGGAGCGCGGGGCCAGCGCCAACCTCATGGCCTACGGGGGGGGCACCCCGCTCCACCTCGCCCTCCAGGCCGCCGCCGCCCCCCACGCCCCCCACGATGGCCCCGATGACCCCGAAGACCCCGACCCCGCCGGGGATGTCCGGCCCGAGCTGGTGGTGCGCCTCCTCCTCAACCACGGCGCCGTCCGCGTCTGGCCGGGGGCACTCCTCAAGGTGGGTGGGGGCCAATTGGGGGGAGGGGGCTTCCCGCAGGAATGAACCTCGCCTTGGCTCGGGACCCACTGTGGGGAGGGAGGGAGGGAGGGAGGGGGTGTCCCAGGGCGGCGCGGGTGGGAGGCTTGCTATGTATTCTCTGATGCGCCACGACACGCAAGGCTGCTGCGAGTTTTCCGGGCTGCCTGGCCACGGTCCAGAAGCCTGATCTGCCCCATCTCCCCGAGAGGGGGCGTCCCTTTCGCCCACACCCGTGACAGGCATCTTCCGAGGTCGTGAGGTCTGCTGGAAGCTAGGAAAGTGAGGTTGAGATATATCCCCGTGGAATGATGTCCCGGGTGGGAGAAAGAACCCTTGCTTGTTGACAGGTATCCTCCGAGGTATTGAGGTCTGTTGGAAGCTAGGCCAGTGGGGTTGATATGCCTATATCCCTGTGGAATGATGTCCCGGGTGGGAGAAAGAACCCTTGCCTGCTTGAGGCAAGTGTGAATGTTGCAATTGGCCACCTTCATTAGCATTTGATGGCCTTGCAGCTGCAAAGTCAATCAGTGAGGGTATCTGCATAGAGGTCTCTTGGAAATGAGGTAAGTGGACTGTATGATGTCCTGTGGAATGATGTCCTGGGTGGGAGAAAGAACCCTTGTCTATTAGAGACAGGTGTGAACGTTGCTCTTGGCCACCTTGATTAGCATTGAATGGCTTTGTAACTGTTAAGTCAATCAGTGAGGGTATCTTCATAAAGGTCTGTTGGAAATGAGTCAAGTGGACTGTATATCTCTCTGTGGAATGATGTCCTGGGTGGGAGAAAGAACTGTTTTCTATTGGAACCAAGTGTGAACGTTGCAATTGACCTGCTGGATTAGCATTGAATAGCCTTGCAGCTTCAAAACCTGGGTGCCTGCTGCCTGGGAAAAATCCTTTGTTGGGAGGTGTTAGCTGGTCCTCAAGTTTCTCATGTTTCTCAAGTTGCTCCTGGCACAAAAAAAAAGCTAGTCCTGATTATTTCTTGTCTGGAATTTCCCTGGATTGTTGTAGGTTTTTCCGGGCTATATGGCCATGCTCTTGAGGCATTCCCTTCTGACGTTTCGCCTGCATCTTTGGCAAGCATCCTCAGAGGTAGTGAGGTCTGTTGGAACTAGGAAAACGGGTTTATATATCCGTGGAATGACCAGGATGGGACAAGGGACTCTTGTCTGCTGGAGCTAGGTGTGAATGTTTCAATTTATCACCTTCATTAGCATTTGAAGGCCTGGCTGAGCCTGGGGCAATCTTTTGTTGAGAGGTGATTAGATGTCCTTGTTTGTTTCCTCTCTGCTGTTTCGCTGTTGTAATTTTAGAGTTTTTTAATACTGGTAGCCAGATTTTGTTCCTTTTCATGGTTTCCTCCTTTCTGTTGAAATTGTCCACATGCTTCTTGTGGGTTTCAATGGCTTCTCTGTGTGGCCTGACCTGGTGGTTGTGAGAGTGGTCCAGCATTTCTGTGCACTCAGTATGCTGTTTTTGAATCCTGGTCCCTCAGATCCTCAAGGCCATAAGTGCTAATCAAGCTGGTCAATTGCAACATTCCCACCACTCAGAAAACAGGAGAATTCCAGACAGGAAACAATCCGGGCGAGCTAACACCCCCCAACCAAGGATTCCCTGAGGCAGGAAACAGCCAATCTTTGAAGCTGCAAGGCTATTCGATGCTAATCAAGCTGGCTAATGGCAACATTCACACTTTCTCCCACTGATGTATAAACCACACTTGCCTAGTTTCACCTCACAGCAACCTCAGAGGATGCCAGCCATAGATGTGGGTGAAATGTCAGGAGAGAGTGCTTCCGGAACATGGCCAGGCAGTCCGGAAAACTCACAGCAACGCAGGGATTCCGGACATGGAAGCCATGGACAAGGCTTTTAAACTTTGGATTCTCTGCCTGAGTGTGTTTGCTGCGAGTCCCCCCCTCCCCCGGGGGAAGGAAGGAAGGAAGGGGGGCTGAGGGGGTCTCCCGAGGGGTCCCCTCTCTCCCTTTCTCTTCCCGCTTCCCAATTTTATTGATTGATTGATTAACTATATTTATATACCTGCCTTCTCAGCCCAGAGGTGACTCGGGGCGGTTAATTGTCTCTCTCTCCGGCCCCCTCTCCCCCCCCCCCCCAATTTGGGCAGGTGGTCCGCCATTGCTGCGCGTGCCCGCGGGCGCTGGAGGCGCTGCTCAACACCTACGAGCGCGTCCCCGTCACCGAGGAGTGGAGGGAGGCCGTGCCCGAGGAGGTGCAGCAGGTGAGCATCGGGGGGGGGGGGGAGGGGAGAGGGGAAGGGGGGGGTGCAAGGGGCGGACCCCACCTTCGTCCTCACGCCTGCCCCTCTTTCCCCTCTTTCTTTCTTTCCTTCCCCGCAGCGTGACCGGCGCTTCTTCGAGTCCCTGTGGGGGCTGGGGGGCTCCCCGCGCGCCCTGCGCCACCTCTCCCGCCTGGCCCTCCGCGCCGCCCTCCAAGGACGCCCCCTCCCGCCCCTCCTGCCCCGCCTCGGACTCCCCCCACCCCTCCGGCGCTTCCTCCTCCTCCGCTTCGAGGGCGCCCTCCAATAGAAAGCATCCCAGCGGGGGGGGGGGGGGGAGAAGAGAAGAGGGGGCGCACGGGACCCCCCACCCCTCTCTGGAGAAAGCCCCCTCCCCTCAAGGAAATCGCCGAGACCCTTGAGATGGACCCCGGGGCACTGCAAAGGAAACACAGAGGAAACACTGCGAAAAGGAAGGAAGTGAACGAACATTAATAACGTTTAATAACCCCCCCCCCCAAAAAAAAAGGTGCATCAGGTTAAACCGCTGAGCTGCTGAGCTTGCCGACCGAAAGGTTGGCAGTTCGAATCTGGGGGAGCAGAGTGAGCTCTTGCTGTTAGGGCCAGCTACTGCCAACCTAGCAATTCGAAAACATGCCAATGTGAGTAGATCAATAGGTTCCGCTTCTGCAGGAAGGTAACGGTGCTCCATGCTGGCCACATGACCGTGGAGGTGTCTAAGGGCAATGCCGGCTCTTCAGCTTAGAAATGGAGATGAGCAGCAGAGTCCCAGAGTCGGACTCGACCGGACTTAAGGTCAGGGGACAACCTTTACTTTACTAATAACCCCCAACAGCCCTGTTCTAGAAGGTGGCAAGTGGGTTAGTTGGGGGGTCTGTTGGCCCCATGATTTCATCACACACACACACACACACACACACACACACACACACACACACACACACACCCTGCTTGCTTTGCATCAAAGACCAAGGGAGGAAGAGAGGCAGAAGGTAGGGAAGGAAGGAAGGAAGGAGGTGGGGAGGGGAAGAAGGAAGGAAGGAAGGAAGATAGAAAGGAAGGAAGGAGGTGGGGAGGGGAAGAAGGGAGGAAGGAGGGAGGGAGGGAGGGAAGGGAAGGAAGGAAGGAAGGAAGGAAGGAAGGAAGGAAGGAAGGAAGGAAGGAGGGAGGAAGGAAGGAAGGAAGGAAGGAAGGAAGGAAGGGGAAGGAAGGAAGGAAGAAAGGAAGGAAGAAAGGAAGGAAGGAAGGAGGTGGGGAGGGAAGAAAGGAAGGATGGAAGGAAGGAAGGAAGAAAGGAAGGAAGGAAGGAAGGAGGTGGGGAGGGGAAGAAGGAAGGATGGAAGGAAGATAGAAAGGAAGGAAGGAGATGGGGAGGGGAAGAAGGGAGGAAGGAGGGAGGGAGGGAAGGAAAGAAGGAAGGAAGGAAGGAAGGAGGTGGGGAGGGAAGAAAGGAAGGAAGGAAGGAAGATAGAAAGGAAGGAAGGAGGTGGGGAGGGGAAGAAGGGAGGAAGGAGGGAGGGAGGGAAGGAAAGAAGGAAGGAAGGAAGGAAGGAAGGAAGGAAGGAGGTGGGGAGGGGAAGAAGGAAGGAAGGAAGGAAGATAGAAAGGAAGGAAGGAGGTGGGGAGGGGAAGAAGGGAGGAAGGAGGGAGGGAGGGAGGGAGGGAGGGAAGGAAAGAAGGAAGGAAGGAAGGAAGGAAGGAAGGAAGGAAGGAAGGAAGGAAGGAGGTGGGGAGGGAAGAAAGGAAGGATGGAAGGAAGGAAGGAAGAAAGGAAGGAAGAAAGGAAGGAAGGAAGGAGGTGGGGAGGGAAGAAAGGAAGGATGGAAGGAAGGAAGGAAGAAAGGAAGGAAGGAAGGAAGGAGGTGGGGAGGGGAAGAAGAGGAAGGATGGAAGATAGAAAGGAAGGAAGGGAAGGGAAGGGAAGAGAAGGGAAGGGAAGGGAAGGGAGGAAAGAAGGAAGGAAGGAAGGAAGGAAGGAAGGAAGGAAGGAAGGAAGGAAGGAAGGAAGGAAAGAAGGAAAGAAGGGAAAGAACCCAAGGAGGAGGAGGAGGAGGAGGAGGAGGAGGAGAGATGAAGGACAACGGGAGGATCAACCAAAAGACTGCGGCCAATCTCAACGGTTGGATTCCTGAGCTGACGGAATTCCACTGGCGGCAGAAGCCGGGCTTTCTGCGGCGCTCTCCCGCGGAAGGCCAGGAGCGCGCGTGGGGTCCGTGGAGCGCCTTCCGCGAGGGCCAGGGTCTCCGAGGCGCTCTTGCCTGGAGGGGCGGGGGTCGCGGGCCCCTTTGGGCGAGAGGCGGACGTGGAAATCTGCTTCCTTTGCATTGACTTGATTTTTCCCCGTGCTTCATTTCCTGTATTTCTGAATAAATTGGTTAATTCTCCACGTGGAGCCTCTCCTTCTTTGCATCTTTGGGGGGGGGGGGGGGCTTCCGAGTGCCAGCCCCCCCCCCCTTCCCGCGTGAGGGGAGGGGAGGGGGTCGCTCCGCCAGCCCACAACCCAGCAGCTCTTCCCTTCCCCCTCCCCTCCCCTCCCCTCCCCTCCCCCAGAGCTCTGACAGGACCGACTTGAGAAACCGCAATCCGCTTCTGGTGTGAGAGAATTGGCCGTCTGCAAGGACGTTGCCCAGGGGACGCGTTGGGAATGAGAGCGGGTAGGCTCCAAAATAACCCTCAGTCGGTGTGATCCCACCCTAAATATAGCAGAGTGCTAGCAAAGGAACCCCTCCCTCTCATCCTATTACATCTAAGTCTCGCTCCTCATTGAGGACTGGAGACTTGGGCAGTTCGGGGATGAAATGCAAACACCACGCCCGGATGTTTTGGATGTTTGACCCTCCTTGTGGGAAGGAGGCTTCTCTCGTGTCCCCTTAGCATGGGGAGCTGGAGCTGACAGACGGAGCTCATCCGCGCTCTCCAGCAATGTAACAAATAGGCAAGCATTCAATGCCAAAACAAGCGAGTATTAAATAAACCAAATACAATAATAAGAAAGAAGGAAGGAGGAAGGGAAGGGAAGGGGAGGGCAGGCATTCAATGCCAAAACAAGCAAGCATTCAATAAATCGTGTCCTCATTGAGGACTGGAGACTTGGGCAGTTCGGGGATGAAATGCAAACACCACTCCCGGATGTTTTGGATGGTTGACCCTCCTTGTGGGAAGGAGGCTTCTCTCGTGTCTCCTTTGCATGGGAAGCTGGAGCTGACAGAGGGAGCTCACCCCGCTCTCCCTGGCTTCCAACCCTGACCTGTCAGTCATCAATCCGGTCTTTACAAGGGTTGAGCCCCCTACCCCACTGAAGCTGGGAAAGTGGGATTGGCCGGCGGAGGGGGGGGCTCCCTGGCTTCCAACCTGACCTGTCAGTCCTCAATCCTGACTGCTCAAGGGTTTCGCCCCCTACCCCACCAGAAGCTGGCCGGGGGAGGGGGGGGAGTCAGGGGACAAGGGCTGGGGGAGGGGCCCATGGGATGTGGTGGGGCACCCCGCCGCTCCCTTTCCCGTGGGCCCCTCCCTCCTTCCTCCCGCGGGGGTAAAGCTCCCCCTTGTGCTTTTCGGGCGGGGTGGGGGGCGGTGGGTGGGTGGGGAGGGGTGGCCCCTCACCCGTCAGGGCCATAATGGGCGGGGGGGGCGAGGGGGGGCGAGGGGCGTGGCGGGGCTTCTCCCTCCAGGGGCCGAAGGGGCGGCCGTGGGGCAACTCAAGCGGAAGGTGCGGAAGATGGATGAGCCCCGGGCGGAAGGGGGGGGGCGGAGGGAGGGAGGGGGGAGGAGGCAGAAGGGGCGGAGCCAGAGTGAGAGAGGCCCCTCCCTCCCTCCCCCCTCCCTCCCCAACCCCGCTCTTCGCTTCGCCTTCAGAGAGGAACTCCGTCCGCGGAGCAGAGAAGGAAGTCCGTGCGGAGGATCCCGATGCGCGTGGCCCCCCGCCGGCCCCCACCCCCGCGCCCCCTCCCCGCGGGCCCCCCGGACCCCAAAGGCGTGGGCTGCTCGGGGGCGGCATGCAGCGGAGCGGCGTCGGGGGCGCGCCCCTGGGGGCGGCGGGGGTGGGGGCGGCCTTCTCCATCGAGGCGCTGATCGGGGCCCCCCCCACGGGCCCCCCGCGCTGCTCGCCCTCCTCCCCCGCGGGCGCCCCGCTGCTCTACGCGGGCTACCCGCTCTTCGTGCCCTACCGCCCGCTCCTGCTGCCCCCGCCGCCCCCGCCGCCGCCCCCCCTGGCGCCCCTGGCCGGCCCCTCCCCCTTCGCGGGGCGCCTGCAGGGCTCCTTCTGCGCCGCCCAGGCCGCCCCCTCCATGGTGGCCCTCGCCGCCGCCGCCGCCTTCGCCGCCTCCTCCGCCGCCGCCGCTTCCGCCGCCGAGGCGCCCGACCCGGGGGGCTTCTACGAGCTCATGCCCAGCCCCCCGCCCCCCGCCAGGGCAGAGCCCCCCGCCACGGGCGCGCCACGAAGGAGGAGGCGCAGCGGGAGCCTGGCCCCCCACGAGGGACACTTCCGGGAGCAGACCTTCCCCGCCGCCCTCGCAGGTGAGCCCCAAGGGAAAGGGGGGGACAGGTGGGACCCCATCCGGGCCGGGCACGCGTGGGAGGCTGCGAGGAACGGCTCGCCCAGTGCCCTCTTCCTCTCGTGCCCTGTCTTTGGGGCACAGGAAGGAGTTCCCCCAGGAGGAGGAGGTGGGGGTGAGGGGGGGCCCCGAAGGAAGGAAGGGGCCACGAGGGAGGAGGGGGACAGGCAGGTCCCGATCCGGGCCAGGCGCGCTCCGGAGGAAAGACGGTCCCTCATTCCACGCACGGGCAGGAGTCCCGCGCCGTCTTCCCCTCCTCTTCTGTCTTTGGGGCCCAGGAAGGGGGGGAAGAGGGGCCTCCCCAAGGAAGGGGCCCCAAGCAGGAGGGGGAAGGAAGGGGTCCCGAGGGAGGAGGGGAGGAGGAGGACAGGCAGGCCCCGATCCGGGCCAGGCGCGCTCCGGAGGAAAGACGGTCCCTCATTCCACGCACGGGCGGGAGTCCCGCGCCCTCTTCCCCTCTTCCCCTGTCTTTGGGGCCCAGGAAGGGGGGGGGGGCAGAGGGACCTCCCCAAGGAAGGGGTCCCGAGGAAGGAGGGAGGGAGGGAGGACAGGCAGGTCCCAATCCAGGGCAGTTGCGCCAAGAGCGGTTTCCACCCGCGAAGCCGAACAGCGGGCTCCGGCAGAAAGAAGGTCCCTCATTCCAGGCAGGGAGCCCCCTCCCACCGACCCCCCACCCCCGTGGCGCAATGGGTCAAACCCTTGTGCCGCCAGGACTGCTGACCAACCGGTCGGCAGTTCAAATCCAGGGAGAGTGGGTCGAG